CGACCCTCTTCGGCCTTCCGAGGGCTCTGCTCTGTCATCTGAGATCTGGTAAGCAAGGTTAGACTAGGGGTATTTAAGAAGCACACAGTAACTCTCTCTGAACCCAGCGGCCTCCCTTAAATGTGAACGTTCAATGCCACCGTGTCCTTCAACCAAGGCAGATAGGAATGGCTTGAATTACAGTTCTGCTGGAGGGTGACTCCGAGCCACACGCCGGTGCACCGGCTTTTTCTCTGTGACTTTTGGCATCAACATGACTGGCTTTGAGGTGTACGTATGTAACCGTGTATGTGTGTACAGAAATAGGTAGACAGGCCTTTTTTATTTTTAAAGGGAGGAGAGGAGAATGGAGAATAAAAACATCTTTTCTGTGTTGCCTCACTGCATGTTATCCTTTCCCTATCTTTTTCTCCCTGAAGGAAAGACTTGTGAAGCCCCTCTGTTTCCAGGGCCAACACTTCAGGGTTTGATGCTGCCAGATCATTCCGCAGACCGGCTGCGTCGTTAACCCGTCTGAAGGAGCGAGTAGCCTGTGTTACCATGGTTCTTGCCACGCAGCCGTTCGCCCCAAAGCAGCCCCAGTACAGCCCTGAGCGAAGGAACCCAGAGCTGGGATTGCCCTGGGTCTTCCCAGGGCCGGTGGTTCATTTTGGAAGAGGGTTGGCTTTTTGCACCTCCTCCTCGCCCCGGCTCAGCCTTTGGACAGAGACTGGAGAGTTGGCTGGCTGACGGTGCGGCTCAGCCCTTGTGCGGCAGTGGGAAGCTGCGGTGTGATTTTGCGAGAGAGTGACCAAGAAGGGGGTTACGACGGAGAATCCGGGCATGAGGATTCAGTCCCGCTCCCCTTCCAGGCTCGGATTGAACGGCGTTGCGTTTCGTTTGCTTTCCCTCCCTACCCCTCACCAAATGGCTCTGTTTTCTGTCCCGCCCAGCGATACCTGGAAGCCTGTCCATCACGAGCTCCCCATCCCCTCCCAGTCCCCCCAGTGCAACCAGCACTGACCTTTGGAGGAGTCCTCCCTGCGGTGGCAGGTCCCAGCGCTGGCTTGGCAGGAGACCACCTCTCCTTTCCTCCGCAGGTGGGTCCAGCCCA